ATATTATATTTAATATATATATTTAATTTTCACCTAGGGATATGTTTTAATGATTTTAGAGAGAGAGAAAGGGGTGGGGGGGGGGAGAGATATCACATCGATCAGCTGCCTCTTGTATGTGCCCCAACTGGGAAGCAACCCTGCAAACCTACAGCGTAGGTATGTGCCCTGACTGGGGATCAAACTTGTAACTTTTTGGTGTACAAAAAATAAAAGCCATCAGCATTTTTGATGAGCTTATATACTCTGAACTGTACCCTTTTCTTCATTAGATATTTCACAAACAACTCATGTTCACCAAAGAAAACTTGGAAAGGAGAGTAAGAAGAAACGTTGCCTACAATCTATCACCAAACCCAGTCATTGTCAACATTTTGTGTATTTCCTTCTAATCTTTTCTGTATGCAGATTTTATTTTTGTTTTTCCTTTTCACTTGAGAATCTGCCATTTGCATTTCCATGCCATTGTACAGCCTGATGCAAGTCTTTTAGATTCTTGCATTTATTCTTCTACCTTTGTCTTTAGTAATTTACCCTTTGTCTGTCTCCCATATGTGTTATTTGGCAGATTGTTCTCACCCAAGCTTTGCTGCCTTCTCTTTCCTGGGAATCACCTCTCATATTCTGAGTAACTATATTTAATGTCTTATAAATTTTTTCAACATTCCAGTGTGAGGCCATAGGATTGGCTTCTTTTTCTCTGGATTTTCAGAAATCTACTTTCCTATTCCCTGTCTTTCATTGTTTTCTTTCCTGTTAAAAAAAAAAGCAAGGTAATGCCCTCACCACCTTGCTGGTAGTCAGCACTCAGTAAATGGCCAGTTCTCATTCCCTCATCCATCTGTTCACTGCCATCTCAGCAGTTAGCCCTTCCTCACTGATTGGGCACAAATGTAGGCTCCTGCTTTGTTTTATTTTAAGCAGCGACATTGTCAGCAAGGTGAGGAAGTACTGAGCACTCTCCTTTGGCAATCTTCCATCAGATTTTGAGCTTAACAAGGTTTCCATCTCTAGTGGGTCTTGTCACAGTCGGTTTGGTTCTCTTTTGAGAATGAACTTTCCTTCCAGCTCATTGAAACGTTTGTCTTTGTAGTGATAATGGCTTTTGTATCTATACCTTTTTCTTTTGAACAGGACTGTTCATTGCCCATTTCTAGATGTGTACACCCTTCTCTGTACATTAAAATAAAGCCCCGCCAGCGTGGCTCAGTGGTTGAGCATCACCATATGAACCAGGAGGTCACAGTTCGATTCCCAGTCAGGGCACATGCCTGGTTGCAGGCTCGATCCCTAGTGGGGGGCGTGTAGGAGGCAGCTGATCAACGATTCTCTCTCATCATTGATGTTTCTATCTCTCTCTTCCTCTCCCTTCCTCTCTCTCAAAATATCAATTTAAAAAAATTTTAAATAAAGACAATCTGAGGCCAGAAGTTTTATTCCTTACCATCTTTTGTTTTTAAGCTATTTCTGCAGGATTGTGTTTTTTTTTTAATAAAAGCATTATGTTAGAACAGTGCTGTGATGCTCTTGGTATTTATTTTTGTCGGTTCTTTTGGTATTTATTTATTTATTGCTTGTCTTATTTATGATTAAACCCTGTTATCAGGTCAACAAGTCTTCCACAGGTATTTTCCTGGTCCGTTTTCTCTGCCGTTTCCAGAAGCTCTCCCTGTTGTTTGTTCCCGCTCTACTTCCCACGGGACCTTTTTCATCCACACTCACGGCTCCAGGAACTGAAAAGGCTGCTGGTCTGACTCCTTCATCACCTGGATGTCCATTGTGAATACCTGTCTCATTTGGGCCTTTGTTCACTGTTGCACCTCTGGTCACTAATAAGGATTTCCTGAGTCACAGGTCTTAATGGTATCTCCATCTTCATTATCTGGGTGGCAGGAAGGCATCAGCTGATTTACCAGGTAGTCTGGACGCACCTACATGGGCTCCCCTTAAACCTTTTACTCTTCAAAATGACAAAACAAACATCTTTGTGTGAGCTACTGTGTGAACCCACATGACGAGTAACTGCCTAAAGGGCACGTGCTAAATTACATTTATAATAGACACTTCCAGTTGGTCCTTCAGAGTGGCTGTGCCACTCCACAGTCCCACCAGCAGAGGGAGGGGCTCTTTCTCCACACTACCAACAACTGATTGTAAAATACATAAATTAAAAAAAATTCTAGTAATTGAGAAGTGGCATCTTGTTTTTGTATGTGTGTTTCTGACTGTGAGGTCAGCCATCTTTTCATATATTGATTGTATTTCCTGTTGTGTGACTTGTCTACTCATGGTCTTTGCCTGTTTTATTTTAAGCGTCATTTTCTCAGTATTTGTAGGGTGTCCTTACTCTACTGTCCTTCTTTGCTTTACATCCAGGGGCAGCCTCTCTTCTTTTTCAGAAACGGCTGAGCTGTTTCATAGTTTTCTTTGATAAATATTTAAAAACTGGTGACCCTGTGCACGGATTCGTGCACATTGAAAGGAAATTAATTAGAAGGTGGCTGGCAGGGCGGGACTGGGTGAGATGGGCTGGACACACCCTGGAGCCAACCTCTCGTGGTCCCTCCCTGGTGTCTGTGGAGTGAGCAGGGTCCCTCTGGCAGGTGGGGTCCCTTGGCCTGGTGTGCAGGGATGGCCGAAACCTGCTCTGACATCCCCCAAGGGGTCCTGGAGTGCGACAGGGCACTCTGCAAAGTTGCTGTCGTACAGGGTGTGGAACGCAAACGCAAGTTTGCGTTCAGGCCCGACAGTGCCCCAGCAACAACATAACCCACAGCTGAAGGTGAAATCGTGCAGTGCCGTGAGGAACTGGGCTCCCTCCTCTCTGATTTCGGGGTGTGTCATTTGAGAACCTCTGCTGCCAAGTCACTACAGCTTGGCAGCTCCTGCGTTGAGCATCTGCCCCCTGGTGGTCAGTGCGTGTCATAACGACTGGATGGTTGGGTCGGCCGGTCTGCCCGTTGCTTAGGCTTTTTTATATATATAGATTTTAGAATCAGCTTGCCTAGTTTAATGAAAAAGCCTATTGAATTTGGTATTGTTTTTAATTATTGCAGGTTAATTTGGGGAGAGGTATTGTGTATTTTATCAACATTAATTGTTTAATCCTTTTCAGCCAAAAACCTGTTGTGAATTAAATAATTGATTTAATGCTGTTTGGTCTGTGATAAAAAAGCAAAATAGTGTACCTTGCTGTCATCTATCATTTTCTTTTAAAATAAATGTCATCTCTTTCAGCATATTTGTTTTCTAAACACGTTACCTGAACTGTGTAATAGGGAGGAATGTGCAGTAGTTGGTGGGAAAATTCTGTCATCTTTTTTGTGTCCTGTGTTTTTAGCAATCCCCAAAGTGAGACTGGAGACGATCTACATTTGCGGAGTAGATGAGATGAGTACCCAGGATATCTTTTCCTATTTTAAAGAATACCCTCCGGCTCACATTGAATGGCTGGATGATACCTCCTGTAAGTACACCAAGTTTTCTGTTGAATACGTTTTTGCTTATGATTTTGAAATTGTTCTTGCCACCTCAGGTGGTGAATGATTATGGCCCAGACTATTTGTCTGTGCCTAACCTCTGCCCTTAGCGTAGAAGAGAAAGAAAATCCCCGTTGATGAGAACCAGATACATTAACCAGTCTACCAAGTTATACCCCGTGAGTATTTAAGCCAGACCAGGGCTTATAAAGCTGGTTGCTGGCGTCTGAGCCCAGTGTACATGATTAAGGCCTCTTTAACTCCCACGATTTCCCAACAAAGGGGTGGATCCCGCTGTGTAGACTTGAGCTGAGGGCTGCGTTTTCAGGGCTTTAGACTTTGTCATTGCAACTTGCCATACAATGGATTATCCAGGGGCTGGCTCTGCCTCAGTGTCTCTAACCTAGAACTCTATCAGAATCCCTGTCACTTTACCAGACCTCTCATCTCTGCTTGCTTTGGACTGTTTTCTGGAATTTCACCTGCTTGCACTAACCTGTGAGCTGTTTAACTTGTGAGCCAACTGTAATTTTTAACTCGCCTCCCCACTCCAAGTCTGTTCTGATTCTGGTGACCGCGCTACTGGCTTCTTGTCTTGACTCACTTCTAGCCTGGCTTCACTTACTGCTAGCTTGCTGGCCTACCAGGTTGTGCCTGTATAGCAGCCTGGTTTTTCTGGTTGCTTTCTTTAAAAGATATTGATTCAGCGTTTTCATTGAAATAAGAAACATGACAGAATAAACTATTTTTCTCCTGTTTTCTTTTTCCTTAACTTAAATTTTCCAAATCAGGGTTGCCAAACCTTTTTAAAAAAGGGCTGGGTTGTAAATGTTTTAGGCTTTGCAGATCGTATAGTCTCTGTCATTTATTCAGCTCTGCTAAAATAGCATGAAAGCAGCCATCGACAGTATGTAGTTGAATGAGCCTGGCTATTTTCTATAGAACTTTATTTTTCAAAAACAGGCAGTGGATGTGTAATTTATTTTACATTAATTTTACCTAAATAAATCAGGTACAAATATAAACAAATAAATGACAGATGATGGGCTGAATTTGACCTGCAGGTTTTAGTTTGCTAACCACTGCTCTAAGTCATTAAAACTGGGTAAGGGATATTGCAGTTGGAGGGACCCTTAGAATTATCCAGTTCAGCTACCTCATATTGTGCATCAGAAACTGAGAAACAGAGAAGGTAAATTGCCCCAAGGCCACATGGCGTGTCGGTAACAAAGGTGAGAGTCTTATACCTCAACTCTGAGATATAAATGCAGCAAATTAAGTTAGTTGCTACAAAGCCAAGTGTCTGTTATGTCTCCATTGTATATATCCGTGATGGTACCATCATCAGTGGGTGGACATCATATAAAAGCATATCTGGATGATAAGGAAGAGCATAGGGCTTCCCTGAAGGGGCAGTGGTATAGAGGACAATCCACATTTATTTGATAATTATCATCATCATCCTCATCAAGAACTAACACATAGCACTGTGTGCCAGGCAGTTTTATTATATAAATACTTTTTTGTGGAATCTTTAATCATTATTTTGTGGAACACAGTTGGGGAATGCAGCTCAAGGTCAATTTCATCAAAGAAGTTTTACTACTACTTCCTATTCTTTTCATTCGTTGGTTTGTATATTTATTGCTCTCAATCTGTACTTAAATGAGGTTTAGCAATGAATATGATGCAATTTCTGCTCTTAGGAAACAACCATTTGGATGTGATATAATGTTTTATTTTAATTTTATTTTAGGTAATGTGGTTTGGCTGGATGAAATGACAGCCACACGAGCCCTTATCAATATGAGCTCTCTGCCAGACCTGGATAAGATAAGAAGCAGGGATGCCAATGAGGACAAGTCATCTGAGAAAAGCAAAAAAGGTAACTGAACACACAGGAGGGACTTTTGGGCTGAATGTCCTATTATTTACTCAGTTGGTTTGGGTTTCTGTGCACAGTGTTACATAGTAGCTCATCACTAGTTATTTCTGAAATAGGCTTTGATGGTTTAGATCATTAGTAAATACATGGGAAAATAATCGAACTTTTAAATGATATGAGATGGAGTTATGTTAAAGTTCATCTTGTCCCTCACATTCAATTTTAGACAAACAGGATGACAGTTCAGAAGATGAGGCTGAAGAAGGAGAAGTTGAAGATGAAAACTCAAGTGATGTAGAGGTTAGTAATAGGGAAAAGATATATATATGTAAGGTTTCATTGTAAAAAACTGCCTGCTATGTTTTTATTTAAGGCTTAAAGACTTAGTAAGTTGCGTTCTTCCTCTGGCTCTCACCATTAGACTTCCTGAGGGTGCACCAGACCCTTGGTTTTTTTGTGTGTTTTTTTAAAAATATATATTTTATTGATTTTTTACAGAGAGGAAGGGAGAGGGAGAGAGAGTTAGAAACATCGATGGGAGAGAAACATGGATCAGCTGCCTCCTGCACACTCCCTACTGGGGATGTGCCCGCAACCAAGGTACATGCCCTTGACTGGAATCGAACGTCGGCAGGCCGACGTTCTATCCACTGAGCCAAACCAGTTAGGGCCAGACCCTTGGTTTTTAAGTTTGTGTGACTGTAATGAATGATTGATCTTGAGATCTTAGAATAGTACTCACACTTCTGTAAGAGAAAATGATTTTGTTAAGAAATAGTTTGAAGTGTTACCTAATAAGTAAAATTAGGAAAAAGCAAGAAATGGCATATTTCCTAATAGATTATGTACTACTGTTGGAAAAATTAAAGTGTATTCATATAAAAATATGCATTATATAGCTTTAAGCCAAGCAAAGTGTTTGCTCTCTTGGAGCCTACATTCTAGTGGAGAAGACAGGATACAGATATACAGGTATATAATAGAATGTCAGGCAGGGATAATTGCCATGAGGAGAGTTAAGAAGGGTAAGTGGATAGAGAGAGATGGAAACCATTGTTTGGCAAAGTGGTCAGGGAAGACCTCTGACTTAGAACTGGTGCTGTGATATTGAGAATGTTGTTAAAGGCAGAATGCTTTCTTAATCAACGGTAACTTTGCTACTGAATAAAAGTGAAAATGGCTTTAATTTTTTATATTAAAATGCTCTTTTTTCTTAAGTTGGAAACATTATCTCAGGTAGAAGAAGAGTCTCTGCTAAGAAACGATCTTCGTCCAGCTAATAAACTTGCTAAAGGAAATAAGTTATTCATGAGGTTTGCTACAAAAGGTAAGTATGATATTTGCTATTGATTTTTATTATTAAAATGATTATTGAGTGACATCCTTCTCTTTTGAATCAGAGGTTAGATCAAGTAATCTCAAACTGTAATATTTTGTGCTTATGAAATGATGGCTTGCTGCCCGAGTTGGAATTTCAGACTTTGAAAGTAAATATTAACTATTTGTATTCTTTTGTGATTTCTGGCTAAGTAAGTTATTTTCTGTTAAAACTGGTTTGGCCATGTGCTTTTCAGCCAATGTATCATCTGGACTATGAAAACCTTTTAAATTGTGTATTTTTATTTATCACAGTAATAGCCTGTTGGACATTGTTCATAGTGCCCTTCAGGTCTAATTCTCTAAGGAGTTAGGTCAAGTCTGTAATAATTTGTAAGGCTTTTTATACACAAATGATTTTCAGTGCACATTAAACCCCCACATGGTTTCTTTTTAATTGTTTGACAGTTAATTAGAAATGACCCTTCACTTTTGAATACCTCAATATGTATTCCTGAAGAATGAGGACTTTGTCTTACACAGAGCACACTTATCAAAAAAAAGAAATTTAGCATTAATACACCATAATCCATAATCCACCTTCAGATTTCATTAGTTGTTCCAAGAATTCCCCATTCTGTATATTAAACTGCCTGACACACAGTGAGTGCTGTGTGTAGCAGTTTTTGGTGATGACGACGATGATCATTGTCAAATAAATTTGGACTTTCCTTTTACTACAAAATCCAGAATAATCTGATTAACCGCCCCAACCTGGGGTCCGCTCCAGGCCGTGTTGAAGCACTCCGCGTCTCCTCAGCCTCCCTGGGTCTGGACCTGCTCCTCTGCTTTGTTTTCCTTGACTGAACCATTTCTTAAAGAGATAGGCTCATTATTTTATAGACAACCCTTTGGTTTGGTCTTGTCTCGTGCCTCTTTCTGATTAAGGTTGTGCATTTTAGGCAAGAATACCACAGAAGTGATATTGTGTTGTTTTCAGTGCCTCATATCAGGAGGCACATGATAACTTGTCCCATACCCAGGGATGGTACCGTTTTTTTAAAAATATATATTTTATTGATTTTTTCACAGAGAGGAAGGGAGAGAGATAGAGAGTTAGAAACATCGATGAGAGAGAAACATCGATCAGCTGCCTCCTGCACATCTCCCACTGGGGATGTGACCGCAACCCAGGTACATGCCCTTGACCGGAATCGAACCTGGGACCCTTCAGTCCACAGGCCAACGCTCTATCCACTGAGCCAAACCGGTTTTGGCGAGATGGTACCTTTTATCACTTGGTTAAGGTAATGATCACCAGGTTTCTCTAAACTGTCAAGTTTCTATTTTTCCATTTGTGATTTTAAATTTGTGGAAAGATACTTTGAGATTATGTAAGTAGCCTATTGCTCATCAAGCTTTCATGGAGTAGCTTTCACATCCATTGACTTACTAACTCCATCGTTTCTTTATTAGTTGGCAGTCTGCTATAAGGAAGGCTTTCCCTTTTACCCATTTATTTATTTACTTATTTATATCAGTTTAGACTCATGGAGTTTTATTTTATTCATTGGGCTATCATCCATTGTTATCATTATCTTGATTCACGAATTGTCTTGGATTTGGCCCGTAGAGCTGCTTCCAGCTGTGTGCTTTTGACATGTCCCCATGATTCTTGGACGACTTTCTTTATGGCACACTAAAACATCTTGTTTTTCCAGACCCAACTTGTACTTTCCCTGCCTCTGATCTGGAACCAGCTGTTTCTCCTCTGGCCTGGGTTTTGTAGGGGCACATACTAATCTGTGTGACTGAGTTTACCCATGGCACTGATGCATTCACATGGGGTTGGTCCTTGGCAGTCAGTGCGTGCCCAAAGGGCTGTCCGAGTCCTTTATATGTACATGTGAGCACTGACCACCTTTCTTTCCTATTAATGGACCTTTTAACCTGAAAAAGAGATCTTCTCTGCATTTACTGATTTGAGTGGTTGAGAACATTCTAGATATATGTATGGTACTTTAAGCCATTTTGAGGAAATCACGATAAACTGGAAAAAATAGTTTATCAAATATGTGGAATTATGTATAGTTTGCTTCTTTAATCCCGATTCTGTGTTATTGGTGTATTATCATTCAGAAATGAATATTAGTCCTAGCTGATTTGACTCAGTGAATAGAGTGTTGGCCTGCGGACTGACGGGTCCCGGGTTCGATTCTGGTCATATACCCGGGTTGCAGGCTTGATCCCCAGTGTGGGGCATGCAGGAGGCAGCCGATCAATGATTCTCTCTCATCATTGAAGGAATTCTTAGTAATTCTTGGTGAGTCCAAAAGTATAAAACACAATAGTTAATCTTTTCTTAGTCCCTTAGTTGTTCTGCAGTGGAATGTCAACACCATATGTGGGCTCGAAGGAAGACAAGAGGGAAGAGTGCAAGATTCTTAATGGTGGTGAAAGGTGTGAAAATACAGTAGGGCCTTGACTTAGGAGTGTCCCGACTAACGAGTTTTTCGAGATATGAGCCGTCTCTCGGCCGATTTTTTGCTTTGAGTTGCGAGCTAACATTCGGGTTACAAGCCAGCTTCAGATACCCCACCGCTAGTTGGCGCAGTGAACGTCACAGTGAACGCCACAACATCAGCCCAGCATCCCGTGTCTCACTCGTTCACTTTAATGATTTGACATACGAGTAATTTGAGTTACGAGCTCCGTCACAGAACGAATTAAACTCGTAAGTCAAGGCCCCTTTCTCTTCTCGTCTTTCAGTTTCATTTCAGATGTACCTGACACTTGTCACTGTGTAGTTGAAATTAACCAGTGGGTTTCATGGTCCTTCCTGTTGGTCTTTGATTATGTGCTTATTTTGGCAATGTTGCAGGAAGCGAAGATACCATTCCCGTCGCATTCAGCGGGATGTGATCAAGAAGAGAGCCATGATTGGGGATGATGTTGGCTTGACGTCCTATAAACATCGACATTCCGGTAGTTGCCTGCTCAGCTCTTGGGTAGACACATGTTTGGCTCCCGAAATCATATTTTTATTCTTAATACAGTCTTTTAAGGTTCCAAACTTTATCATCCTCTCTTCCTTGCCCTCACCCTCTGCCAACATATAGGAAAGTAAGTCAAGTCAGAGTTAATTTTAAATTGCCCGTACAAAGAGGTCAAATGGTTTTATAAAAGCTGTTCTAATAAAAAAGCCCAAATATGACATAGGGAAAATGAAAATAAAACTATTCTTAGGAATCTAATTTTTTCTGTTTATATAAAAAACTGCATGAGAAAATTTTTTTAAAAATTTATCAGATGAGCTGATTTTATTGTTCTTTTGTCTGAAAATGAAAATAGGCTGCTATATCTAGTGTTTTATGCTTATTGGCTTGTGCACATGAATGTCTCCAGAAAAATAGGATATCATGACTTGGTATTTTTTTTCTTTTTTCTCTTCTCGTCTTTCTTTCTTTGCTTATTGTAAAAGAATCATTTTCATTATGTTTTATAAAGATTTGTTTTTTATTTTGAACCTAAGTTGTGGGATCTTCCACATGGTTGGTAGAACTAGAACTAAGTCAACATACAAACATGGACTAACACGCATACACATTTATCATTGTAACAAGGACAGGGAGAGTGACATCTGTACATTTTTATTTAATGTATATATAGAAAATTATATGTAAAATTTGCATTTTATGCAGTTACATTTTTCCAATTTCAGTTACATTAAGATATTTAAGATACTTGATCATGTAATCTTTATATTAAAGACATTAAAAAGAGAATTGCCCTTAATTCTAGCACTATAATATACTGACTTTCATTTTACATTTTTCCTATTTCGTTTCATAATATTATAATTTTTGTGAACATATATATATTCTATATTCAGCTTCTTCCACTACTTATATGTGCTTTTTCATGAACTTTAAAGTTACATTACTTCTGGTGATTATGGTTTATAAAGTCACTGTGACCCTTGAAGGAGCAAATACTGAACCTTTGAGAATCTGGTCATACCATTTTGTCAGCTGATCAATATATAACCTTGTCTTTCTGTTTAAAGACACCTTATTTTAATACATACATTTAATACAATACATTTAATACAATCATCAGCATGAATTCACAGTCAACAGCACTATAACTCCTGCCTGAACAAAGCTGATATAATACACATATTTTCCTCTTACGGCACATTACATCCTCCTTGCATTTAGGAACACTAGACAGTTTTGGCATTACTACGTAGTGAAATCACCAACAAACACCACATGACTGAAAGACATGGCACTCACTAGACTGCAGAAAGGACACTCGTTTACAGTGTGAGGTGAGCAAGAAGAAAGAGCACTGTTTGACCTCTGCTGGGAAGATGCGTGTGTGGCGACTCTTACTTTGCCGCTCTGCACGTGTCCGCTAACGACCGTGAAAGCTCTGTGAGCGTTGATTTTGGAGCCAGAAATAAACTAGGCAAAATCAAAAATATAGAATCTGTGAATAATAGCAGTTGACTGTATTTGAGGTAATTTCATAACCCATGGGCTGCTAGATCATACTTGACCTAGCCGTTCTTCTGTTGTAGGTACCAGAATGGCACCAGATTGGCTCTGTTACAGATAATGCGGCAATAAAGTCTTGGGCATGGGAACCCTTTCTTTAAAGAAGTCAGTGAAGTAAATAGAAATTTAGACTTGTCATTGCTTTTCCTAATGTTTTTTGGTTAAATTCCTTAGGACTGGTGAATGTTCCTGAGGAACCCATTGAAGAAGAGGAGGAGGAGGAGGAGGAGGACCAGGACATGGATGCTGACGACAGGGTGGTGGTGGAGTACCATGAGGAGCTCCCGGCTCTCAAGCAGACCCGGGAGCGGAGCTCCTCCAGGAGGTCCAGTGCCAGCAGCTCAGACTCCGATGAAATGGACTATGACCTAGAACTGAAAATGATTTCCACTCCTTCACCAAAGAAAAGCATGAAAATGACTATGTATGCTGATGAAGTGGAATCTCAGTTGAAAAATATTAGGTAAGATTATTTCTCCTTTCTGTCAGTGCTAGCTTTTAATTTGGTTTTAAATACTAATTACTAACTTCATTTTAATTCCTCTTAGTTTTATAATCACTTTATCTGTTCTAATTTTAGTCCTTTGTAGAGTTTGAATAAAAGTGTTTGATTTTTCCTCAAAATATACAAGAAGAGATCCTTGTGCCCTGGCCAGTTTGGCTCAGTGGATAGAACATTGGCCTGTGGACTCACGGGTCC